ATAATTCCAAAGGCCATTAAATTCTGTAGTTGGTTGGAGGGAATTGCAATTCCCCCATTTTCATGGAATTAAAATCCCATGTCCCCCTCCCCCCCCCCCCCCCCCCCCCCCTCCCCGGTATTTTAATTCCTGGGAAAAAAAAATAGTGATGAGTCAAAATTACCCCTTCCTTTTTTAACCTAAAATTAATGTCTAACAACCATAATGGACATTTTTTACTTTATACTACTTATTCCCTTTCAATTCCCATGTATACCAAATATTGGAATTGAAATTCCCAGTAATTCTATTACTGTCAACCAAACACTGAAATTTAAATTCCTACTTTATTCCCAATAATTCAACTCCCATAAAATTACAATTCCTTTCCCACATAATTGCCCTCTCCAACCAAACGCCCTGTAATAGTTTATTTAAAACCCTATTACCCTACTAAAAAAAAAGAATTGTATTCATGTACTTTCATTTCATCCCATTACTTCATCTAATTATGGGGGTGGGGTGGGGGAAGCTATATTTTTATGTCGATGTGAATTTGAGAGGTGGTATTAGTTGTTATATGAGTATAAAAAGAAAAAAATTGCACATTAATGATAGTTACAGATTTTGATATATGGTAAGTGTTTTTTCATAAATGATATACGTGAGAAGTCGAGAATATAAATTTTTTAAATTTGACACAAAATCAGGTTGAGCAACTCGGAGTTTTATTGAGTTAATACCCAAAATTGCCCTCGACTATAGTGGTTTTTCTCAATTTCGTCCTAAACGACTTTGGTGACCTAATATCATCCCAGACTTTTGTGTTTCGCTCAATTTAGTCTTCCATTTGTTATTCCGTCAAATTGGTGTTAAATAAAGGGACAATTCAGTAATGTCAATATTGATCTCTCTTTACTTTCAACTTGTGAAGTGTGAAATTCCTCTTTCTTGTACGAATTACACCCAGAATTACTCTCGGACCTGCAAATCAAATTTTATATTCGCAGTTTTAGGAGTAATTCTAGAAGTAATTCGTAAAAAAAAAAAAGGATTTTGCAGTTCACATGTCTATGAGTAAAGAGATGCCAATATTAAAATTACTGAATTGTCTATTTATTTAACACCAAATGGACAGAATAACAAATGAAGGACTATATTGAGCAAAAACACAAAAGTCTGGGACTAAATTGAGCGAAACACGAAAGTCTGGGACGATATTAGGTCACCAAAGTCGTTTAGGACGAAATTGAGAAAAACCACTATAATCGAGGATGATTTTGGGTATTAACTCGAGTTTTATTATATGGAATCTCAATCTCTACTTTTTAACTTTTACTCTTTGATGTGGTAATTATTAATAAATTACCAAAAATTTAATAAATAAATAAAAGTTCGAGTAGAATTAGAAAGTTGAAATCGTATTTTTCGAGACGGAAAGAGGCAATGCGGGCCCGCATACAGTTAAAGTTCACCGTTATTTTGATAGTGATTCGGCTTTTGAGGATTTTATAATGGACCCTATTTGATTCCGATACCATCTTCCATTCTGTGTACTCTAATTCTAGCTGGCCCACATTTCTGTTTTTATTTTTTAATCCTTTTCAAAAAAACTCCGTATTTTATTTTTTAGTACCTGCTAGAAAAATTGAGGTAAAATTTAAGAAATTTAATAATTATGTTTAAGAAAAAAAAAAGAGTCAAACACATTGTGCTCAGATGACATGTAGTGACCTCTTCTATGTGAAAGGTTATGAGATTGAGACTCAGTAGAAACGGATGTTGTTATCTCTGTGTGCTTCATTAGGTTGATAATAGAGAGTCCGTAGCACACATTTTTGTCTCTTAATTATTATTATGTAATTAGTTCATCACCATCAATTTGTAAAGATTCAATTACTTAATTCTTTTAAAAGTTATCAATTTTTGTGCGCTCCTCAATGTCTGAACTTCAGTTTATTTAGTATTCTTATTGGTAAAAGTGGTCAAATAAACTACTAAGTTGACAGAATAGTGCAATTAAGTTCTAAAACAAAAATCATTTAAACACCTTAAACCAACAAACATACGCAATGGAGCCCTGAGATAGGCAAAAATTATGTTGTGAGCACGTGTTCACCATGCACATCTTGTATACGAATCTATATCCATAATTTCTATATTGTAGATTCATAATTTCTATACTATTTATATGGTGTGTATATAACTTTTCTAGTGCTGATATGGATCTAAGTATACAATTTTATTTTTTTTCAAAATTTTAATATAATTTTATTTTGTATTTTTTTTTTTAAATATTACCAACAAAGTATTGTTGGTGAACCATGAATGACTAAGATATGGACCCTTTGTGATAAAGGCAACTATGGCCATTTTCATCTTCATCTTCGCCTTCCTCTGCAATGAAGCCAACCTCTGTGCCACTTTGAAGATAGTACAAATTTGGACAACACATATGGTTGTCTAAATTTGTTATATATATATATAAGGCCATGGCTATCTCAAACAACTGAGGTCATCTTTCTTTGACATCCACGGTTGTTCGTGAGCGAAAATAATCATCCTATATCACACTCAATAGCTAATAATTGTAGTTAAAAAGAAATATTTATGCTTAATGCGAGAGAAATTTTTTTTCCAATACCTAGACAAATACAATTGCAAAAAATATTCACATATGTATTCTCAATCATACAGTGTATATAACATATGCAAATGTTATATATTTATGCAATTGAATGAAATTAGGCATAGATTAAACAGGTTCTGATACCAAATGTAAGTACAAAATCCACGTAATCACTTTAATACGTGACAATAAATATAAAACCTACTAACCTCCAGTTCAGTTGTTGATGCTTGAGTCCTTTGTCTGATGAACAGGAGTTCCTCAGACTGCTGCGGAATCACCGTGAATAAGGAAGAGTTTTCTCTCACTTATCTCAGTACTCTGGATGGTGTATGAGTTGTGTTAACCGAGCACCGAGAGGACTTAGGAACCTTTATACCCACATCCATCAATGTAGGTAACTAATTAGCTAATGCTGACCAAATAGTAAGTCTTAGTCAATGATTGCAGTATAATTCTCAAACAAATAATTTCCTAGAGTATCGGGTTATTGATACACATGGAAGCGGAGTCATATCAAGCACTAGCTACTAATCTATTCATGAGAAGCTAATCCTATCAAAGAGAGTGATTGATTAATTGTAAAACTAATTAAAAGAACAAGATAGCAAGTTGATGAAAGCAATAGAGGGAGAATGAGATTTATGGGATTCAAGTGTTTAATCGCCTAATGCCAATCTAAAGTGCAATATTAAATCTGCATTTAAACAAGTGCGAGAATGCAAACAAGGGAAATAGTTATTCCCGTAATCTCCAACCTAAAACAATACAAGTGAATATTCGATCACTCCCGTGATATAAACACTTAACAATGTAAGAACAAACATTCATAATAAATTCTCAACTAATAGCCATCATCCAATGTGCAATAATCAAGAATTAACTCCTTAACAAATATGACATCTCCCAAGGTGCAGTAGTCAAGTGCAATTGTGGGTGCTCTCAATTATACCCTAACTTTTGTTAAGACATAAAGATAGATATGAAACAAGTAATTATGACCATTAATTACAAGCATCTACAAAGTAAAACACAAGTTATAAAACCCAAATATAAATATTAAAGAATTTGAGAACTAGGCACATAGGTTCATAAACACTTTCATCCAAAAATCTCTAAGGTATTTTAGCCAAGCATGACTAAAATATTCATAGCAATAATATAAAAGAGTTTACAAGCAAAAAAGAAAGTAAAAGAAAAGATAAAGAAATTCTCCCGAATCTTCTTGGCCTTTCATCTTCTTCAAAGATGACTTGTAGCTCTAGGTGTATTTTCTTCTCTCTTCTTGCCTCCAAAAAATGCAGCCTAGCTCCTTTAGGGTTGAGAGAAGATGGACTTTTATAGTGGGAATCAAGCGAGGGGGCAAAATATGAAATTCCCGCACAAAACAGATCCGGCCCAGCACGACGTCTCGACGTGTCGTTTTTTCAGAACTTCTCGGCTGGACTTCTCAACGCGTCGAGTCCTTGGCTGGAATTATGGGACTCAGTTCTGGAATTTCTCGACGCGTCGAGTTCTCTGATCTCGAATGGCAAAGTTACTGGAATTATTGGATGCGTCGAGTCTAGGACTCTACGCGTCAAAAACACTGTTTCGGCATCCCAACTTCATTTTGGCTCCAAACTTATCTTAGGACTTCCCCTTGCCTTTGCAAATCATCTACAATGGTTTCAAAACACTAACAAACACCGTAAAACATTCAAATTCTATTATTTCGAACGATAAAGCTACTGGAATTATTGGACGCGACTCGATGCGTTGAAAACTCTGTTTCGGCATTCCAACTTCATTTTGGCTCCAAAATTGTCTTAGGACTTCCCCTTGCCTTTGCAAATGATCTACAATAGTTTCAAAACACTAACAAACACCGTAAAACATTCAATCATGTATAAACCATATCTTCATAAGAAAGCAAGAAAAAATACATTGAAAGTATCAATTTAATAAACTTAAGCCCACAAATAGACTCAAACGAACAAGAGAAACATGTACAATTAAACTCATATCAGTCAACCTAAAGAGTTTGCACCATATAAAATAATACTTAATATTATATTATTATAATAATCTTACTAATAATAATACATAATGAAAAACGTTACATATCGTCTATGCCAATTTAAAGGGTTTGAATCAAGTATTTCTTTTTGAAGTGGTTCAATTACACTATTTCACTAATTCATAAGTTTATTCGACTATTTTTTTATATATTTTTTTGTGAGATTAATGTGAATTCAAGTGCAGTAAAATTTGACTTTTATACAAGAATATAAGAAGAAGAACAGGTGTAAAACACTTTAACTTACATAGTAATTACATGAATATGCAGCTGTCTCATAAAGTCACATACCAATTGGCAATCACATTCATGCATGCAACCGCAAAATTACATCCCCTGCCCCTGCGCACCTCCTCCATAAGAACCCCCCGGCCCGCTTCCTCCACACCATCCTCATCTCTCTCCGATCGGAAAATCAAGAAATGGGTGTTTTTAGTGCGTTGTGCATTCTGATAATCTCCGTTTCGTCACTCACAGGCGAGGCCAGAATCCCGGGTGTTTACGGCGGCGGTCCATGGCAGAGCGCTCACGCCACCTTCTACGGCGGCAGTGACGCCTCCGGGACTATGGGCGGCGCGTGTGGGTACGGAAACCTGTACAGCCAGGGCTACGGGGTAAACACCGCCGCGTTGAGCACTGCTCTTTTCAACGACGGCTTGAGCTGCGGGGCCTGCTTTGAGATCAAGTGTGCTAACGACAGGTCTTGCTTTTCCGGCAGCCCCTCCATCTTCATCACCGCCACCAACTTCTGCCCGCCGAATTACGCTTTGCCCAACGACAAGGGCGGCTGGTGCAACCCTCCTCGCCCCCACTTCGACCTCTCCATGCCCATGTTTCTCAAAATCGCCGAATATCGTGCCGGAATCGTCCCCGTCGTTTACCGCCGGTAACATTATTTTCTAATTTAACCAATATTTTTTTTATTATTATATACCCTGTCCCATTTTATGTGTTGGGTTTGGTTGCTTAACTGAAATTATTTATAATTTAATGTTTTATAATATTAATTAAGGTTAAAATTAGTATGTAAAATTTATATATTTACAAATTATATTAAAATTACTTAGAAAATACTAATAGAAATAAGTAAAGAAGAAATAATTGATTTGACCAATAATTATAAGTAAGACTGATAAAATGGGACAGAGATAGAATATGTCCCCGTAGTTTACCGCCGGTAACATTATATTCTAATTTAACCATTTTTTATTATTATTATATACTCCCTCCATCCCATTTTATGCGTAGGGTTCAGTCAATAAAGTTTGACTAAATTTTTTTATAATTTAATTTTTTACAGTATTAAGTTTAAAATTAGTATGTAAAATTTATGTATTTAGAAATTATATTAAAATTACTTAGAAAATTCTCATAAAAATAAGTAAAGAAGAAAGAGTTGATTTGACAAATAATTAATAAGTAGGACAGATAAAGTGTGACAGGAATAGAATATTTATAACATGTATAGTGTACTACTGTACTAATAAATTTAAGTTTTTATTTTAAATTTTTAAAAATATTCCATAACAAATGTGTCATAGTAATTTGAAATAAGGAATATATTTGACCGAAAATTAAGGAAACGCATAGAATTTTTGCCTAAAACAGGTGGGGCATAGGATAGGTATGAATATGTGCTAAACGGACATTCACAAAATCTGATGGTGTATGTGTTAGTAATTGCGTCAATTCTGGTCAAAATTTGAAACCAAAGACTTGTTTAGTTTAATGGCTACAAAATCTGATGGTGTATGTGTTAGTAATTGCGTCAATTCTGGTCAAAATTTGAAACCAAAGACTTGTTTAGTTTAATGGCTAATTTTTTTTTTTTTTGGAAAGCCACCAATGAAGGTGATTATATTATAGATAAGCTGTAATAAAATTTGGTGGGATAGTATCCCAGTACATCGTATGAGTCTGAGTAAAAGCATGTGCTGCTAAAGAATGCGCCATAAGATTTTCTAATTTAGGAATGTAAATAAAAGAACATAAATTAAAAGATGACAAAATAGTCCTGCATCCATCAATAATATAGCCAATATATGTTCGCATCTGTGTGGCTTGTGATGTCAAGTGGTGTTGTAGAATACGGCAATCCGTATGTAGTTGTACCGCAAGCAATCCCTTATCCTTCAGTCATGATAAAGCTTCTTTACATGCCAACGCTTCTGCCATTAATGGGGACAGACAATGAGGTAACCGCAGATTGAAGCATGCAATAAACTCCCCTTCGTTTGAGACAACAATCGCACCTGCCGTTGCCATTCTGTCCGACGCGTGGAAGCCGGCGTCGACGTACACTCTTGGCAGTCCACTTCCAGCCGTGACAGCAGGTGGAGTATAAGCCACCGTGGGTTGCCCTCCGTGTACCGTGCTCCACGATTGCCACCCAGAAATTGCCGCACTCACCACTCTTTTCGTTTAATGGCTAATTTGATTCTTAATTCTTACAAATTTTATCTTAGTATGTTTCGTTTAGTATAATTATTTTTTATTTCATAAAACACATAGTGATTAAAATTTAATTTTGTGATATATTGTGTAGAGTGGCATGCAAAAAGAGGGGAGGAATAAGATTCACAATTAACGGCCACCTCTTCTTCAACTTGGTGTTGATCAGCAATGTTGCTGGTGCTGGGGATATAGTAAAGGTGAGCGTGAAGGGCTCCAACACTGGTTGGATAGGGATGAGTCGCAACTGGGGTCAGAATTGGGAAACAAGTGCAACTTTAGTCGGTCAATCACTCTCGTTTAGGGTCAAAGGTAGTGATAGACGCACCACTACCTCATGGAACATGGTACCAGCCAACTGGCAATTCGGCCAAACTTATGTTGGAAGGAATTTTCGTATTTAAAAGGAAATTTTATATGGTATCTAAAATAAAATTTATGGAGTGATCTTATTGACGCTAATTTGTGAAGTATATTGACTTTGTACTAAAGTAAAAGAGCTGAAGTGACTATAAAAAATATAGTCCGCAGCAGATATTATGAAAAAAAATTAGTTGTGAAACTATGTTCAATGTGTAGTTTCATTGACATGTTTGACCATATATATTAGTGATATATCATTTAATGAAAAGCCAAGTTAACAAAATCAATAGAAATAAAAAGAAATGAAATTACTTTTAATAAGGAAATCTCATAAATCTCGAATCCCTAACTAAATGAGTTTTGAACCAATAATTATTACATTCCAACTAAATATCAATTTAGTTATTTAAATAGGCATTTATTGAACTCTTATGACTAACCAAACTTGACCTAGGCACTCCAATTATGAGAAGTTTATAAAAAGTCATAGTTTCAGGCTTTGATTCTTGAAACGTTTTAATCTTTTTAAGTCTACATTTTCTTTTAGAAACTAGAAAATTCACAATTAATATTATTATTTTTTTTTTTGTGAGGAAAGAGGAACTTAGAAACTCCAGTGTTAAGAGAGTCGTCTAGTAGCAACGTAGTTTGCATCCTGAACTAGCAGGCTACTCATATCACTTGGAGGCACCTCAAGAATCGTGGTCCCCCAGTTTTTGTTATGACCCAAGTTGGCTAGGAAATCGGCACATTGGTTGCCTTCACGTAGGACATGGCGGAACTCGTACTCCTGAAACTCGTCCATCAAACTTCTACAGTCCAAAATCAAGGTGTCGGCTTCCGAACTGGATCCCATGACATTGTGCAAAGCATGAACCAAGGCTTTCGAATCAGATTCCGCAATAAGCCTCGAGGCCCTATAATTCTTTGCCATGATGAGCCCCTCTTAGAGTCCCAGAGCTCGGCTAAAAAACTACTAGCAACACATATTCTGGAGGTAAAACCCACAATCCAGTTGCCAAAATGGTCTCGGAGCCCCCCCCCCCCCCCCCACCCAACCCCACCCCCTCCCCTTGCGCTAGCCATGCCAGATGTTTTTTTTTTTTTTTGAACCATCAGAGTTGAGTTTGAGCCAACACTGTGGTGGAGGCGACCAATGAACCCATGTTTGCTTGCCCATATCCGGTCCATCATGCTTGAGGAGGTGGAGCTGGGCTTCTTCCGTCTGCCGTGAGGCGCGCCTCCAGATTGTAACTGCCGGAGTAGCGACCTAGTTAAAGACAAGTTCGTTTCTCGCTTTCCATATATTCCATAACATGTGAGGAAAGAAAAGGCTCCAACGGTAGTTTCTGGTGCTCTAAAGGGGTGGAGAGCAGTTGATTTGTATCTAGTCCGCCAGTGGTATAAGGGAGGAAGGATTGAAGGTCGCCGGCGCATTGCAGTGATTCCAGTAGTGCACTATTATGGCACAATGCCGCAGCTGATGGTCGAGCAATTCTTCAACTTCACCACATCTCGGGCAGCTACCGTTGTCAGAGAGACCACGACGCAAACGTTCGGCGTTGACAATAAGGCCATTGCTAATGATTTTCCAGAGGAAGAGCTTGATTTTCTCTATACATTTGATCTTCCACAGCCAGCCTAGATTGGGACCCTCTTCCGAACTCCTTGCAATCAAAACGTGGGCAAATTTAACAGAGAAGAACCCCGTACATGAGAGAGACCACATGATCGCGTCATCTTGGTTCGTGTTGCGCTGATGGGAACCGCTCGGATGAGATCAGTGACATTGTCAAAGTAAATCCTTGAGCAAATCCATCTTCTAAGTTCTGTTATCTGAGATGAAGTGGCTGACTTTGTAATGAGCAGAGTTGGGCAGGATCACTAAGTTAGGGAGGGAATAAAGAGGAGAGTCTCCAACCCAGTGATCATGCCAAAAATTCAAGGAATCACCATTGCCCACTTTCTATTTAATGCCTTGTAGAAGGAACCCCCGTCCCTTGATAATACTTCTCCAACCCCAAGAGCTATTACTTGGAGTATTAGCCGAAAGAAAATCTCCATCTTTTAAATATTTATGCTTCATAACTTGAACCCAAAGCTTATCTTTACTTGTAGCCATCTGCCATGCGAGCTTGGTAAGAAATGCATCATTAAAATCTTTGGCATGTCGAAGCCCCAGCCCTCCTATTTCTCTCGGTGAGCAAACCATTGACCAGTTGATCGTGTGAATCTTCTTGGAGTCCTCCAAGTGCCCCCATAAGAAATTCCTGCAAATCTTATCAATGTGTTTACAGGTACTTACCGGTTAGGGCATTGATTGCATGATGTAGGTTGGGGTCGTGGCAAGGGAGGCTTGAACTAAGACTCTTCTCCCTGCCATGCTGAGGGCGCTAGTTTTCCAATTGGTCAACTTCCTTCTTATTTTATCAATGACCACCGTAAAAGTGCCTTTAGAGACCCAGTTATGAAGGAGGGGGATCCCAAGATATGTACCTAGATTGGCGGTGATCGGGATGCCAGTACAATCTCCAATGGCCCGCTTTGTCCCTGCATTGGTGTTAGGAGAACAGAAAAATTGGGATTTAGAGAGATTTACCTTTAACCCAGAAGAAGCACTAAGTCTGTTGAGACAATGCATCATGACTTTTGCTTGGCGTTCTGAAGCTTCCCCGAAGAGCATGAGATCGTCCGCGAAGAAAAGGTGGGAAATGCCAATTCTGTCGCGAGATACCGAAATGGGTTTCCACCTTCCTAAGGAAACTTCCTGTTGAATTTCAAAAGCTAACCTTTCCATGACAAGATTGTAAAGATAAGGAGCCAACGGGTCTCCTAGATGGAGACCGCGTTTCGGGGAAAAGGAAGGCAGGAGGCCACCATTCCAAAGGATAGACATGTCACTTTCCTTGAGGGAAAAAAAGGATAAACTAAGTTAGTCTTCTTGGGAAACCAAAGCCTTCTAGGGTTTCTTCCAAGAAAGTCCAATCAACTCTATCATAGGCTTTTTGAAGATCAACTTTAAAAACCATTAGGCCTTTCCTTCTTTGCTTTTTGTTCATAGTATGGATCACTTCTTGGGTGAGAATTACATTATCCGGGGTGGAACGACCCGGGAGGAAGCTATTTGGTGAGGGCCAATTAGCCGACACATAATGGGCCTCATACGGTTGACGATGACTTTTGAAACCACTTTGAACGCCAAATTGAGAAGAGTAATAGGCCGAAAATCCGCAGCCGTTTTAGGTACGTCTTTTTTTGGTATAAGCGTGATAAAGGCCTAAAGGACGGACACCGGAACCGAACCACTAGAAAGGGCCTGATTAACTAATCTGGTTAGGGCTGGGCTAATCTCCTCCCAAAAATTTTGATAGAGAGCTGTCGGAATACCGTCTGGACCGGGACTCCCAAACTTCTTCATACCGAAGAGAGCTTTTTTAACTTCCTCTATCGAAGCTCTCCTAGTCAACAACTGAACCTGGCTTCTAGACATCTTAAGGGAATCCGCAATAGGTACCATCTCGGAGCCACGCGGCCTGATCACCCTGTTAAACAAGGACCAAAAGAACTAAGTAATGTGGTTAGAAATGCAAGAAAGTTCATCAGTCTAGTTACCTTGCACTTTGAGAAATCTGATCATGTTCTTATTTCTCTTGATAAAGCAGAGTTGTGGTAAAAGCGAGTGTTTCTATCACCGTCTTTTGCCCAATTTCGTCTGGATTTCTAGAACCAGAGGGCTTCTTCTTGATCAAGCACCATATTAAACTCATTTGTAAGCCTCTTTTCTAATGCTCGGAGGCCACCTGAGGTCTCATAATTGGGAGAAGCTTGGACCCCACGAATTCTGGACTCAAGATTGCGCTTACGTTTGAAGATATTACCAAAGACATCCCGGTTTCAAGTTTTGCTTTGCTCGGTAGGATTCCTAATAATGGTCACCATATCATGATCCACAGGTCTCGTGGCGTTTTTCCAAATTAGCGCATAATCGCTTCTGGTAAGCTAAGTAGCTTCAAAGCCAAAAGGCCGAAGGTTCCCCTTGGGCTGGGACCCTGCTGCTTCCATAAAAAGAACCGGGTTGTGGTTCGAGTGAAGCCTAGGGAGTCAATAACCTTAGCTTCGGGAAAAACCATTTGGGTACTGACATTCCAAAGAACTCTGTCAAGTCGCCTTAGCTGGCCGGTTACTAGCTAAGAGACACCAAGTGAACTTGGCACCGGAAGTTCCCGGGTCTAGGAGCCCGCAATCTCTGAAAGCATCCACAAACCTTTGCATGCTACCGTTATTGATGGACTCATTGCCCCATTGTTCATCCACAGTCTCTATGTCATTTAGGTCACCAAGAAGGACCCAAGCTCCCCGACAAGAAGAGCTGAACTGCTTACACTCATCCCAAAACCTATTTTTTGCCATAATGTTAGGTTTGACGTAGGCAAAAGTGATAAAACAGTCATCCGGTCTCTGTTCTACTCTCGTGTAGATGGCTTGGGACGAGTGTTTAAGAATCTCAAGATCAAACTACTCCTATTTCTAGAGGAGAAGCAAACCACTTGCAAACCCATTGGGCTTAACTAGAAAATGGTTAGTGTAACCAAGGCTACAAGCCATATTAATCATCCCCTCCAATTTGGGGGAACGGATCTCAAGGAGGCAAAGGGCATCCGGTCTGGATGAGGTTAAAAGTTGTTTGACGTGCTTTCTAACCCGCCCGTTGACTACGCCCCTACAGTTCCAAGAGATGACAATCATTGGAGACACCGCATGGAGGAGAAGTTTGACAACCGCCTTCCCCGGGCGTGGAACAAAAAATGGGGATGGGTTGATCAAAACCCCCACCCCCCAGAGCCAAAGCCAGTAACGATGGCATGCATGCCCCCAAACTGGAAAACCGATGGTGAGTCCCCATTAGCCGAAGTTTCACCAGGTTCGAACAACCGAGAGTTGAAAGAGACAGAATGAACAGCAGCACCCCCTCTACTCGAACCCCTATTTCTGCCGCGAATAGCTGAAAGAGAGCCACCACGTCCTTTGTTCAAGTGGCCGAAAGGTCGGCCACAGGGCAGCTCTTTGGTTCGCCTGGGCAGCAGCCTGCTGGGGCTGAGGTAAACTCCCATGGGTGGGAGGAGTCGGAGAGGGTAGGGGAACAGAGATAGGAGACTTACCTTTGGACCTCATCCTGTCACCTTTTCTTGGTTTATTTTT